TCTTTCCCTGTAATACCCAAGACAACAACCACCTTCACGCTTAAGCTAAATGTCTCTACACCATGTCCTAGAATCCTGGAGAAAACAATCTCTGGGTTTTCGGTTCAAGGTGCTGTCCTGGTAGTCACCTGACTCCTTCGCTGGGTAGGAAACTCACCAAGTTCTGCCCACAGCACCCCTTGGGCTGCCTTCATCTGGCTTTCAGAACTGTTTCTTGAATACTTATTACAGCTTGGATCCTAGTCTCCCACGCCGATCTAACTTGGCCTTTTATTCTTTTTTATTTTTAATTAATGAGAGCGAATGTATGCGCATGTGCACGCACAAGAGAAAAAAGTACCTTCGCCCGGGTCTCCTCACACTGGGACACTTGCCCCCAGCCCTCCGGATCATCAGGATCTTGGGCGTGTGCACACGTGCATAGCCGGGATGTTTCAGGTCAACCAATCTGGGAAGTTGAACCTGCAGTCAGCCACGTGGCTTCCAGCACTGCAGGCCACTCTGCCACCAACTGTGCCACTGAGCCAACCTGGCCTTTCTGATGGGGTGCAGTCCAAACACTTCCACTTAAGAGAGCTCATCCTGGGGGCCAGCTGATGCCGAGGCGGGGAAGCCTGGATTCCCACACGGCTAACTGTGGTTCAAGTTCTGAACACAGCAGTTTGAAGGTCACACAGGGCCTATGTGTGTGTGTGCGCCCAAAATCCCAAGAAGAAAATGCAGGAGAAGGGATTGTGGCATGGCCATCCCCTTCGGGGAGTGACTTCTCACTTTCCCTCTCTGCCTCTTTCCAACAAGCACATATGGCCGTATGGCAAAAACCAAAACCCAAAACAAAACAGATACCTCATCCTGGGCTCTGGGTTCCCGCCCATTTCCTCTAAACCAGGGTTGGGGACATGGAGAGCTAAAGCAGACCTGATACCACAGGACCTATGTCCTGTTTTTTAAATTACTTTTTAATTTTGTTTTCAGAGGTTTTTGCCTTAGGGTGCATGCTTTCGCTAGAAAGAGAGAGACAGAGACAGACAGAGAAGGAAAGTGAGAAATCACTCCCCGGGCAAGTGGTCATGCCAAAACCCCTTCTCCTCCGTTCTCCTCCCAGGATCTTGGGCACACACACATGCCTGGCGTGATTTTCAAGCCACTGGGCTGGGACCTAAACTGTGGTTGGCTACGTAGGAGTCCAGTGACGTAACCGCTACGCCATCTGCTGGTACCTTATTTAATTCACTACCTTTTTAAAATAATTATTTTATTTCACTTTATTTATTTATTTTATTTTAATTTGACCAGGTAGGGGCAGAGTGAAAGAGAGAGATAGAAAGTGAGAAAACAAGCAAGTCTTGGCCTTGAACTACAGTCGGCCATGTGGGAGTCCAGCACCTTTAATCACCACACCACCTGCTAGCCCCTTTTATTATTATTTTTAAGTTTGCTATAGGGCATGTGTGCTCACCAGAGAGATGGATAAAGAGAAAGCAAGCCACCAGGTCCAGAACTCGAACCGTGGTTGGGGTCAGCAAGTGGCATGGTGGTTTTGGCACTGGGCTCCCACAGGACCTACATTCTTATTTATTTTTTAAAGAATTATTATTTCTTTTTGAGAGGTCTTTTTTTTCTTTTTGTCTAAGTGATGTGAGTTTTTTTTTTTTAATAACTATTTATTATATTATTTATTTATTCATTCATAGATTTTTAATTTGACCAGAGAGACACAGAGGGTGAGAGTGAGAGAGAGGGGAAGTGAGAAAGCAAGCTACTAGGTCCAGGACTCGAACCCTGGTTGGCCATGTGGGAGTGTCCAGAGCCTTAACCACCACGCCACCTGCTGGTCCCCCGGCGTGAGTTTTAAGCCACCAGGTCCGGGACGCGAACCACGGTCGACTATGTGGGAGTCCAGCGACATAGCCATCACACTAACTGCTGGTCCCCAAGAATTATTTTTATTTAACTTGATTTACTTATTTGTTTTTAATTTGACCAGAGAGGGACAGAATGAGAGAGAGAGAGAGAAACAGAGAAGACGAGCAAGCAAGCCACCAGATCCAGGACTCGAATCGCAGTCGGTCATGTGGGAGTCTAGCACCCTTCACCACCACACCACCTGCTGGCCCCAGGACCTACGTTCTTACATGGCAACCATCTCTAGTTTACCACTGACCCCACCACCTACATCGTTATTTTAAAATCTGGCTGGCTTCTCGAGGCATGTGGGCTTATGAGTTCTGCTCTTCACCCAGCGTCTTTTCCCAGTACAGACCTCATTCAGCCACCAACCGGGCAAGCGCGAGGTCTCAGAGGGGCCGACACTCTCCTCTCCGCAGCTGACAATCAACACTAGCAAGATCAAGCCATCCCTCAAAACTTGACACCAAACTTTGTCCCAAACACACTAGGCCTTTTCTTTTTTTGGAGAGGTTTTTGCTATAGGGCGTGTACGCTCGCCAGACAGACAGAGAGAGAGAGAGAGACAGAAAGTGAGAAATCGCCCCCCGGGGCGGGCGGCCACGCCGCCATCCCTTCTCGTCCACCGCAATCCCTTCTCTTCCATTCTCCTCTCGGGATCTTGGGCATGTACGCACACACCCGGTGTGAGTTTAAGCCACAGGATCCAGGACTCGAACCGCAGTCGACTACGTGGGAGTCCAGCGACATAGCCATTACGCTAACTGCTGGTCCCCACACTAGGCCTTTTCTGCTTTCTCTCCACGTAGCCGAGTACTGCTCTTCCCTGCCTTCCACGCAGCTGTCACCAACTCTAATCCATAAGAGGGTCTTCCTCCTTCATGCACTGCAGCATCTAGCCTCTGCATCATTCGCTCTCTGGTCTGCACACCTCCCTGGCCTGCACACCTCCCGTCTGCCCACTTTACAAGCCCTCCCTCCACTCAGCAAACACAAAGCAGCCACTCTAGCCCATTCTAGGCCTTGGGGACACAGCGGGCAACCCAAATGATAAAGTCCTTGCCATGGCAGACTTTCCCTTCCAGTGGACAAAGACACGCAGGAAGTAAAGCAGTCCAGCTATGGGTAACTATTCAGGGAGAAAGGCAGGGAATGACTGGGGCGAGAGCTCTTCTATGAGCAGGACAGTGAGTAAAAGCCTCTTGGAAGGGAGCTGTTGGCTGAGAGGGTGCCAGGCATTGAGGTGGCTGTGGAAAAGTGCAGTCCAGTCAAGGGGAACAGCGGGTGCAGAGCTCCGTCTCAGGAATAGAAATACTGGGCTTTCGGGAAAAGCATGATGCATTTTTGCACAGAAAAGCACATCATGTTTCCCCCAAGGACCTAATAGATGGTGTGGCTAAGAACGGGACACTGAGGAAAGAGAGGTACAAGATGGGGTCGAGGAGGTAAGGGACTTCGATTTGATGAATGATCAATAGTGTTTACCTCCTGTGTTCAGGGCAGGTGTTCAAGTACACGCTTCAAAATGCCCAGTTACGTTTGACGCCAGTCATTACTGGATGACTTCCACATTCCTTTCATTCTTTCTACAAACCCTTCCTTAGCACTGTCATCTGGCCAGGGAACTGCTCACCCCTTTAATGAAGGTAGGTGTATCCTTTATTCCAAAATTCCAGAGCAAGATATCTCCCCCTTTGGATCCCACAGCCAGGGTGCTGGGGTGAGTCGGGTGCCACGCCAAGGATGTAGCCCTCCTGTCAAAGGGGGCGGCCTTTTGGAATATCCGGTAGGAAGCCAGAGAGTTTGAAAAGGACTGCTGGAGACCCTGACACGGAGAGAAAAGCATTAAGATGTATTAAAACCCAGGTCCTGGTCTGCTTCCTGGACAGGTAAGTCCTCGGAAGGAGATCTAGCTGCCTCGCCCTGTGCATGAAAACATCTGCAATGTATGTGAGCTGGTTTTGGAAAGCAAGGGGGCAGAGTACATCCAGCTGGGACTTTTACAACCTAGCACTTCTCTACCTGGCTGGGTGCTCAGTAGGCCTGTCGTCCCAGCCGGGGTCACTCTGGCAACCTCCTGAACGGACCCATCGTCTTAATTACGGAGCAGCAGGTAGTACAGAGGGACCACGCAAACCCTTGAGCACTTCGGCCAGGACACATCTCACCTGCTGCAGCGACGGCCAGGTGGCTCTGCCCAGCTTATACTGGTCGATGGCCTTGACGATGCTGCTGCATGGTGGCGGGACCTGCTGGCTAGCCAACCCCTCCCAAAGGCCGTCTGAGTCATGTCTTCTGCTGGAACCTGCCAAGCAGAGCAGACACACGTTTTCTTCTCCAATCTCAGATTTCTACTGAAACCTCAGAAAGCGAGCCTTGCCGTTGCATTCGGCACGGCCATCTCAGCCTCGTCACCTCCTAAGACCTCTTCACGGTCTATTTAGTCTCATCCAACACAAGACACAAGAGCAGGGATTCAGGCCTTTCCCCAAAAAAACCACTCCCCGAAAACAGTCATCCAGAAGTGAAACCACGTACGTTCTTGCCTGAGAGGAGGCAAAGAAACACAAGAACAAACCAGGGTGTAGCACTCTATCCAGTGTGGCCTGGGAAACCCAAGATGGGGCTGGGTGGCAGCTCTAAAATCACACGTAATGCACAATTTTAAAATCACATCGGACGACTTAAGGCTAACACAGCAGAAGTGACTGTTTAGGAAAAGACATCGCTTTACGTCCTGGAGTAAAATAATGTAGAGGTGACCCGCTGTCAACCCCAAGTCACATCTATTTGGGCAACCAAGACCCAGAGAATCTGGAATAGCTCTAAATGAACTAGCCCGTTTCTGGAGAGGCAAATCAACAGAAATAAAGCAACTCTGGATGGCCAAACTATTTAAGGATCCACTCTCTATGGTTCCGGCCTCTGGACAATCAATTCTTTCTTTTCATGAAGAAACTCACTTGGTCCACCTCACCCTGCTCCATTCCTTTGGGTGAGCCCACACTTCCCTTTAGACGAGGTTAACTTCCCTAGACCTCAGCCAATGAGTTTTCTAACAAAGAAGGAAACTGAGGGCTCTCAGTCGAAACAGCTAACCACCCTGATTATCGAAATTAGCACCCAGAGCGCAGGGAGGTAGAATGGTGTTAAGCGGTCCAAAGACTTTGCAAAGTCCGTGTGTCTGCTGCAACTGGCTTTTCTGCAGCTTCCGGTAACCTAGCGTGCAGGCTGAAGCCTGGACTCTCGGGCGTCAAAGGACGGGCAGGCAAAATGCACAGCCTGAGGCACCGGGGACCTGGGACGACCTCTGGCATCTACGAGCCCATCCCCCTCTCTGGCCTCCTGCATGAGCGCCCCGATAGCGGAAACGTTAAAGCAGCAGGCACAGCAGTACCGGAGCCCTTCCCACTGAGCTTCTTGGCCTCGGGCTCCAGCTCCTGGGGACTTCTGCTCCTCTTGCTCCTGGGGCGTAACACAACCTCACAGGTCTTCTGGGTTTCTGGGCGTTTCCTGGGAGCCATCGCGTCCTCCGTGCCAAAGGGGTACTATGCCTTATGCGGAGATCACGGAGCGAGGACTGAGAAGCCTCTGGGGAGAAACAAGGCGGGGACTAGGAAACCCACGAGGCCACAGATTGTCCAACTAAGCCAACTTCCCGCCAAACATGCCCAAGGCATGTTCAAAGTAGCTTCTAGCTCCAGCCCCACCCGATTGGCAGAGGCCCTGCCCCTTCCGGGAATGCGCGGGCGCGCGGCGAGGTGGGGCGCGCGGCGAGGTGGGGCGTGCGCAAGGGGAAGACCTGTCGGCTCCCTAAAGGACGTGGGGAGTTGTTGCTGTTGTTTTTTTTCCGGACGAAAAACTGGGATATCCCTACGTGATGGTCCTGATTCCGTGCACATCAGCTGATCTGCCAGTAATAAAGATGGCCCCCGGCACTACATCACTCAACTTCAGCCTATTCGCACTTACCGCTGCCAAACCTCTTGCAGAAGAGTGAGACCATATGCCAATCAAGGCTGCAGCTCCCGCCTCCCCTGCTTTCTAATTTGTGATGAAGCCTGCTCGAGCTTTAGGATTGGCTGGTCCGTGCAGGGTGTAGTTGGGGCGTGGCGGCTTTGTAGGAAGCAACTTCACCTGCTGCGGAGGCCCGTCTGTTCCCGCCGGCGGCATTTACCTCTCCAGCTCTATCGAATTCTAATCTCTCAGTGGAAGGTTTTTGGAATTAGCGGTTTTTTAACTATGACCTTCCCAAATTGTTGAGTGTCTGCCTAGGCATTCTGGGGGAGTGATGGCCCGGAGAGCGTGCCGCCAACCAGGCGTAACAGAACCCCTGTGCCCTGGCTTCAGCCCAAGGCCAAGACTGCGTGGTTTGTAGGTGAGGCCACGCTCTCCCGACGAGGCAGGCAGGATTAGTCTCTCACTGCTGGGTCTACGAGAGCCCACTAGGCTCAGTGGCAGGCACTTTGGGAGATACACCTATATATAGTTTTTTGTTTGGTTGGGTTTTTTGAGAGGTTTTTGCTAATTTTTTGCTAATGGGTGCGTGTGCTCACCAGAAAGAGACAGAAAGCGAGAAATCACCCCCGGGGGGGGGGGGGATGGCCACGTGGCAATCCCTTCTCCTCCATTCGCCTGTTGGGATCTTGGACACGCACACACGGTACATGCCCCTGGTGTGAGTTTAAGCTACCAGTTCCGGGACTTGAACTGCAGTCAACTACATGGGAGTCCAGCCACATAGCCATTACGCCAACTGCTGATCCCTAGAAATATTTAGGAAGATGGGATGTTGTGGAGTCTGTCTTGAAAAAAAGTAGGGTTTGGCTGGGGAAAGGAAAAGAGGATCCAGGGCAAGGAACAGCTTGGTAAAAGTCAGGAATGGGAGTGGGTCAGCAGATGGCTTAGCAGTTATGTCTACAGACTTCCACGTTGGTGACTATAGTTTGAGTCCCAGACCCAGGGGCTCGAAATCACAAGATACCTGGAGAAAGGATTGTTGAGTGGTAATCCCCTCATGGGGTGACTTCTCATCTTCCCTCTTTGTCTCTCTGTCTCTCCCTGCCCCTTCCCAGTAAGTGCATGCACCCTAGGCAAAAACCTCTTTTAGGGAGCCAGCAGTTAGCATAATGGCTATGTCGCTGGACTCCCACCTCCCGGACCCAGTGGCTTGGAACTCTCGCCGGGCGCATGTGCGTGCGTGCCCAAGATCCCGAGAGGAGAATGGAGGAGAAGGGATTGCGGCTTGACCATACCCTCTGGGGGGGGGTTTCTTGCT